TGAAAGCCCAGTTTCTCCTGAACAAAATTATATATAAGAAGTGTGGGTGCATATAATATGAAAGAGGTGAATTACGGTTGAAAAGACATATAGCGCAAATTCCAGTTTTTGTTTACATTTTGTTTTGATCAGAACGTGTACTGTTGACTCTGTCCTGAAGGGGTTAACATTGCAAGTGAAAACATTGCTGTTTTAGAGAAACTTGTTTACATTGCAGTGTTAATTAGAGAAAATAGTGTGTCCCAGAAAGGCACTATTGGTGTGTGCTAGTGACCCTTAAATTAGAGGAAATACAAAAATGTCCATAGGATTAAAATCCAATGGGCACAAAAGGCTTCTTGAAATATAAAGCTAATATAATTTTAAAATGATGAACTTTATTTACTTGAAAGGAGAAACGACATAAACCCATCAAGAAGAGCCATAATCAAATAACGGCTCTATATTGAAATCTAAATGGGGAGTCTCAATGTGGGACTGGATGGGAAGCTGGCTGAGGATGATAGGAATGGGAGTTGAAAAAACCTAAAAAGGTTTAAATGTCCATTGCAGTGAACCACTTGTGGCTATAAAAGAAGGCAATATAAAGCACTATGATTCAACACCACTATTATGGGAAAAACTGCATTGAACTAATGTGAAACTAATATAACAGTGTGGCAACACCAAATTTCAACAGGAAGTTTGTCACCAAAAGAGAGGTGTGTGTGTGTGTGTGTGTGTGTGTATATATATATATATTTGTAGTCGGGGCAATATGGCCGTACACAGAAATCTAGCATATTATAACCATAACATCAATGAGTTGGAACCAGTCGGTTGTGGTGTTCCGGAACCGACAAAGCAGTAGGCCTGTAATAAAAAGTGGGCCCACCTTGGAGGGTGTTATGAATAGAGGGAGTGGTGACCCGCCAGACCAGCAACGGTAAGGTGGGAGTGGATTGGCAGCCCTTTGAAAGGGGATCCAAGCCCCTCCCACAACTACAGGCCAAGCCTTCAGGTTTGTAGTCGGGGCAATATGGCCCGTACACAGAAATCTAGCATATTATAACCATGACATCAATGAGTTGGAACCAGTCGGTTGTGGTGTGCCGGAACCAACAAAGCAGTAGGCCTGTAATAAAAACTGGGCAAAAAGAAAATACCAGGACACGTAATTTGTGAACCAACTTCATTTATTGAGATAAGTCACAGAAAGCTTGTCTTAATTCTTTAACAGGATTAGGTATGTAGAGTGTGTAGGCGGAGGACTTCCAGCATCCCATAGCCTTGATAATGTGAGCGGGTATGTGATTAGCGGATGCTGAAGTGGCTGCCCCTATACGGAAAGAGTGACCTGAAAAACTTTTTTTCTCTTTTAAAAATCAAAGTGTCATTAAAGGAATATCTGGCTATTATACACTGGTTTGCCACATTCCTCTTTTCACTTTTATATTATATTATTTGCTATTTTATTCTATGCAAGTTCATTTTATCCAGACCTAACTACCATTGATTTCGACCATATTGGACTACCAAAGAATCCTTAAGGTGGGGATTATACCACCCATACGCCATCCACCGAGCAGTACGTCTGCTCTATATACCGTGAGTATATTTTATTTCATTTTAATTGTTTTATCAACTGTACAGTGAGAACTATATTTTTTATTATTTTTATCCCGAGTTGGACTCTATCTTTTTACCAAAGGACCAAAGAGGAGCACCACATATCCTTGAGTGGGAATTATTCCACTTCACGCTATCCATACCAGAGCTGGATTTAAGCTCTGAATATTGTGAGTAGTTCCACTAATATTTACATAATATCCATATTTTGTTTTCATACTACACCATTGGAGTTTTTCTCTCTCTTCTGTTCTTCCCGCATATTTATACTTATTCGGGACGCTACATACCCTTCTGATGGACTACTAGGACCACCATTTGCACATTTGGACATTTTATATTTGGACTATTAGGTACCGTTGTTATTCCAATTTTTATATTATATTTGGACACTTTTTTGGACTTTTTGTTATTGCTGCTATTCTTATATTATTATTTTGTTATTTCCACTTGTTTTAGGCGCACCCTTATTCTTTCTTTTTTTTCTCCATTGTACTGGACACCACTTATTGTGAGTATGATACAGAGGGATTTGAATAGTACGTCCTTCGGTGCTGGTTTTTGATTGTCTTAAGGATAGAATGTAATGGTCAGTATGTAAAAATGTAAAAGCAGAAGGCTTCTATAGACTAGCTAAGTAGAGGATCGACTTCATGGTCCTAAGCTAGAGAAATAGATGCAAAATAAAAGGCTAAATGCTGCCTTACACCCAGATGGAGTAGATATAAGATATTTCCTAGATCCCCCAGCCAGGTTCCCTCCAATAGCATCCACATAATTACTAGTCTAGAGTCAAAGATATCCCCCATCAAAAATTCTAACTAAATAACCATAGTGCATTCAATGGAGCCGCTCACCAGGTCTCCTTATATTGGACCGAGGCAGCTGGTCATATGATAGCCGCAACCAATTGCTGTTCAAAGGGCGTGTAGGAGGCATGCCGATGCGTCATAATTATGTCCTAGATCCCGCCCTTTTGTCAATCATTATAAGCATCCCAGTGCTGTGTCAATGCATGGAGGAGGGTGGGAGGAGATTTCTTCGGCGGTTTTGTACACACAGGGGGAGGAGAGGCAAATAAATGTATTAACCCCATGTAGTACATAAGGGGAGATTGAAAGAGAGGTTCAATGCTTATAAGCATCTCTCTAAGTCAACTAAAGTGTTTTTTTGGTTTTTTTTTTTGGAGTGTCCCTTTAAGGTGGAACATGCTAAAAAGGCCTCAGTCCCGAAAAAGAGGGGCAAGGAAGACAAAAGGGGTAAAGAATAATAACATATATTAATAAGAAAGACAGGGAAACATTTTTTTTACAAATAAATTTGTGTTTTCTCCTTGTGACCTTCTTTCTAATTTCTAGGTTAACCAGTCATACCAAGCCACAATGTCTGCCACCTATCTTATGCTGTTGTCGTTGTCTGCCATTTAATGTTGTTGTTTGTGTTCTAAATATTGGAAATGTGTGTTTTCATATATGAGTATTAATATGATGATTTGTACGGAAAACTTTTGATAAATAAAAAAAGCCTCAGTCCTAAACGAGTGGAATCTTGAAAAAGCCTTGATCACTAGGTTGTTAGTCTTTCTCATTACTGTAAAAACTTGGTATCATTACAAAGAGTATGGTGCAGTATGTACTCCGTCAGTGCTGAGAGATCAGTGATAACTGCAGCAATTAATTGCTGCAATTACAAGTCTTCCCCCTGGATTTCACATGTCAAATGAGGAATTCTTACACTGTATGTACAAATAGGACAAATATCTCTTTCCTACCTGGAAAGGGAAGCTTCTGCAACACTCATATCAGCTGCACAAAAACCAGTTCATAGATCTATGAACCAGCTACGTATACACTGATAAAAGCTGAGATACGGCTGTTATCAGCTTGTTGAGTGTTCTACAGTCCCTGTATAATTAAATGTGTTATGTGAAATGGCAGTGCTATACCAAGGGCACCCAACAGAAATTTGTGGGAAGTTGAAAAAGAAGGCAATAACGGTTAAACAGATACCCAGCAACAATACCGAAGTATCCATCTTCCGATTGGGAAAAATATCCTTGGTGTCTAATTGGTTAACATGTGTGATTCTCTTTCTATTGTTTGTGTAGACTGATTATTCACATCTGGTCCCCAGTGGTTGGAGGTCTATCAAAGACTATTATTATACGGTATATATTATTTATAGACCTCTAAAGGAAAAATAAGCATTCTATGGGAGAGAGCAGGAGGGGGGAGAGTTGGCTTTATGTCCGCTGGTATTGTTTTACAATTTCTATCAAGTTAGCGGAAAAACAGCATGAGCACATGTAATGGCCTTAAATAATTTGTTACACATTTTAACGTTTTCATATGTAAGGTTCAATTGTTTCTGTACTGTTCAGTTTATTAGGCAACTTTATTTTGGCTGTTATTGGAGTTTTAAAGTACAGATGCTATTTGAAGGTGCACTCTAGCCACCACAAGTGCTGAGAGAACATGACACACAATGCCATAGTTCTTATCCTTTATCTTGCATAGTGTCGAGACATATTGCAAGAACCTTCACACAGAATTTTCTTATTTTAAGTGGATAAGAATCAGTTGCACGTGCAGTAGAAATACTGATTAGTGTGAAAAAAAATGTATGAGATCCTCTGTCATATGGTACGAGTGAGCAATTGAGCTGTAGTTCATCTCTGTCTTTCCCTATTGCAAGAGGAATCCCTGGTTTGCTTGTTTTCTTGTGCATTAAGTCATCTTCTCCTGGACTATATAAAGAGGGGGGGTGGGGGGAGGTTGGTTATTTCAAGCACCTGTGTTTGTTTCACTCTGTGTCTAGTCAGACATATCTTTATGCACAGTGGTTAATGAAGTAAATACAGAATTTGCATACATTCTGTTTAATAGCTTTTATCTCTTCGGTGTGTTAAGGGTGGTATCATCAGTGAGTATTTTTGTTAAAGGAACACACTGTACTTATATGGATTGACAAATAATAGTTGGATGACGGCAAAGCACTCCTGGCACCATAACCATTGCTGTAATGATTGTGGTGCTCGGAGTGCTCCTTTAATCATACACATTTTGCAATTTAGAAGTACAAAATTGGGCTTACATTGCTGGTCATGCCATTTGGTGAGTGAATATGCAGTTATAATATGTTCATGCTTAAAGGGACACTATAGGCACCTAGACCATTTCATCTCATTGAAGTGATCTGGGTGGAGTGTCTCTGTCCCACTTAGTTTAGAGGAACTGCAATGATTACATTGCAGGACTAAGACAGCCTCTAGTGACTGTCAATCAGACAGCCACTAGAGGTACTTCCTTGTGGCTAGTTTACTTTTGGGTGCCTGACTGATGCTGGGCGTCCTCACGCTTTACATGAGGACATCCAGCGTGAGAAAAATTTGCCTAGGAAAGCATGAGGCCCTATGTACTCGTGTGCATTAACCCCCAAGATGGTGTCGGAGGAGGCAGAGCACAAACCCAACTGTGAAGGAGATTGGAGCTGGAATCGAGTGAGTACACAACGGGTTTTTATTAAGACTTTTAATGCCAGGGAGGGCGCGAAAGAACTATAGTGTGAGGAATACAGATTTAGAATCCCTTTAACTGCAATGCTTGATTTTTCATGCTTCCAGATTGTGGAGCAGATACCACTTATCACACTGTACACCCATAGTCATATCCTTTCCCACTGTTTCATTCCACCTAAATTTGTTTAAAATGTAACACAAACACCTACTCATTATTACCTGTCATCAAATAGTTTGTGATTTAAAAAAATTAAAAATAAAATGTAATACGTCGTTTTTATTGTTTGTTTGAGAAATGTAGGGTACAGAAGGAAAAAGTGGGGATAGTGGAAACAAAAAGTCAGTTGTCACTTTAACATTCGCATGGATTACGTCACAGTTCAGATACATCTGTTATACACATGTTATACTGGTTCGCCTTTATGTTCTCGCCTCATGTATTCGTGTGGGAGGCTTTTCTTTTTATGGTTATACGTCTTTGGTCATCTCTAGCGTCCCTGTAACCCCTGTCAGCTACTCTTCCCTAGGTAGGTCGTGTAACCTCTTTGGTTGATTTGGGGTGATTCCTGTATCGGTTTAGACTGCCAGGGGAATCTTTCCTTATGAGCGATGGTTTCTAGGTTACTATGGTGGGTTTCTGTCAACCCCTGGTTCATGGCTGACGTATGGGTGCGCTTGTCCGTCTGAGGTGTTCTCACCTACTATCTCCTAGCAGAAGTGGGTTGTGAAGTGGAGGTAATGTCACTGGCTTCACTAGGCATTTTAGGTTTTCCCAATTTATATTCGCCTTAGATGTTCTATCAGTCGTAAGTCCGTCATCTCGTAGGGTCGGGCCTCGCGAGCCTCGCCAGTTATACCTTTAAATAGGTGTTGGAGTCATGAGAGTCAAAGCGTATCTCAGTTGCCATCATTCTAGATGTGTGGTTTTCGTATGTTGTGTGGTTTGCTTGTCAACCATTTGGGGCCCCGTATTGGTGCGTGTCGTAATAGAGGTGTGCGTTTTGGTGCTATCCATGTCTCACACCTGTGCATTGCTGCCCTCCATTCTCAGTGTGGCCGTTTGCATGTCAGATGGAGCTGGCGAGTATTAGTAATTCTTCAGGGTGGTGTACCTCTCACCATCCCCCCCATCCCCCCCACACCACCCACCTCTGGGGGCCTAGATTCAGGCCGATAGGGTTCGTGGCCTTTGCTTCCCTGGAGGCCCAGGTCGGGTCACGTGGGTGCCGGGCTAAGATGCATGGTTAGGGTAGGAAGGTGCTGTTGGGGGGGGGGGTCCTACAGGGGAACTGGGGCGCGTGCGTGTCCCCCATTACCTCCTGTGTCATATTCCTCACCCCCACCTGTCTGTGTGTGTGTTAGGTAGATATACCATGGTCTCCATAGTTCGGTATGTTTGGTGCTTCATCGAAGCAAGTCTGCGTATTTTGCTTCTGCTGTATGGATCTTCACTCTCTGTAGCCATTGTGTCATGGTAGGAGGTTGGGTTTGTTTCCACATGGCTGGGATCAGTGATTTAGCTGCGTTGAGCAGGCGTCTCAGGATTGACTTTTTATATTGAGCACTCGATCGGTCTGTGAAGTTGAGTAGCGCGATTTCGATGGTGAGTTCGGGAGGCTCGTCCAGTACATTGGTCAGTTCCCACTTGATCCCTTCCCAGTATGGTCTTATCTTATCGCAGTCCCATCAGAAATGTCAGATAGTGCCTGTCTGTGTTTCGCATCTCCAGCAAGTGTCTGGGACCTCTGGGAATATTCGATGAGGTAACGAGGGCGTGTTATTTTTAGAATCGTTGTTTTGTTTTTTTACATTTATTGAATAAGATTGACTTACCAAAGTTTAGCATTTCATCTCAGTGGGAAAAAAATTAAGAATTGAAATGTTTACAATAATTTGTCCAAAGTTGTAATGATTTGATAGTCATGCAGTTGTTAGGTGATAAATTATTCTCTGACAGAGTATGTTATGTACCATTGTTTCCTAATGTACTTCACTTTTAAATCAAGACTTTGTATTTTAGCTTTATAGTAAACACTTCTCATTGGTCCTCATTGACTCCCTGACATACTGTAGAAATGGTCATCCTTTCAAATCTGCAGTGTTGCATTACTTTTCATACAGTGTATCTTGAAATGTAACCTTTAGTCGTTAGTTTGGGGCTATAGTTTCCTTAGAGCAAAGTAATCGCTGTCTACCCTCCCTTTGCTGCGTAAAATTAAATAAAGTATGCTCACCTCCTTTCCAGCATCGGGACTCCTTCACTGCAGCCTTCAATTCCTACTCCAGAGATGTCACTCTCCAAGCTGATATCACTGGCGATCTCCTCCAATCCATGCACAGTCAAACGTTGCACTTCTCCAATTAAATGCTTATTTTTGCAGCATTTGATTCGAAGACTATGTTTCACCTCTAGTGACATTCTGCAAGTGTATCTAACCCTGCGATTTAAAGAATTTTTTACATTGCACGGTTAAAATGGCAGCACCGCTTCATTGAGATGAAGTGGCCTGGGCGACTTCAGTGAACATTAAAATAATATTTACTGTTAAAAACAGTAAAGTAATATTTAATACACGTAGGCAATAATGCAATACACGGTATGACTGAGAGCATACTAGCCGACCCAGCTTTGCAAAATATTTTGTTTTATCAATATATTATAGTCTGTTCAATTAGGATTTAAATTGGGTTTCTGGGTATCAGGTTTTTATTATTCCCTTACATAAGAACTGGTTTCTCCACAAATAATTGGCATTTTACATCTCTGCCCTTCCTTACTCTTCGCATATTCCTACCACCTCCATCTAAAAGAATTTCTGAAATACGTGAATTTTTCACTCAAACTACCACAAAATTCTTACATCTTTCATAAATTCTGTTTGACAGCTGCAGCTCTGTATATTTCTTATCTTCCTTTCTAGCAACATTTTGATCTAACTCAAAAGTATACAAAACGCTGATGTCCTTCTTATCTTCAAAACACATTACTCCTCATCTGCAGATTCTTTCGTCATAACCCACCACTTGGTCCCCTTTAAGAGGAAAATGTAAACGCCTTACCCAGACTTTCAAGACAATCTACTATACTGTTCTTTCTTACGCCTTTGTCCTTATCACTAAGTACAAACCTGCTCATCCTCTCCGTTCTTCTCACGACCAAGTCTCCCCACCTTTCTTATCTCACCCTCCCTGTGCGGACATTTCTAAACATTCTCCTATCTCTGGAACTTACTACCATGTAATTCTGTACTTTTACCCTTCCCTGCTTCACTAGAATCTACTCCAAAAGAAATCTCATTAAAGGGGGTTCCTAATCGCTAGTCTAACCTATAACTCCTACCGCATAATGTTTAGAATCTGTCAAAACGCTTCTTTTTTTATTCTGATACATTCCCTACGCGCCTGGAGTCACACTTAGTATTTTTACCTTCAGAATGTAAACTTGCAGGGGGAATTTACTGTTGTGTTTGTTTCTGTCTGTCCGATATCATTTTGTTATTTTTTCTCTTTGAATTGCCGATACTTCTCATTTTAGTAAATAACCCTGCTTCATGTCGTGTTCTGCTCCTTCTGTTTTATACTGTGCAAGTGAATGTAGCAGCCATATGTGATTTTATATCCAGCACCTTATTCACACGTGGAAAAACGCAAGTAAGTAGAGGGCAGATATACTGCACAGACCATGCCATTACAATTGTTTGTTTTAAAAAAAAAAAAAATCATTTTATTTTATAGATGTATTTATTCTGTAATGCATTGTTGAAAAGGCATTACATTTTGGAATTATTTTTACTTCATTTTTTTGTGCCGTGACTCAGAGGTTTTCATTTATGTTGATGTGTTTGGCTGGTGTTTTTAAGTATAACATTGCCAGTAATCCCACCAATTATACATTTTACAAATTAAGTTAATTGCCACAATTGTTTGCTTGCCTGTTTTTCTGATTTGTATTTTCAAACATGGTGATACCTGCAGGAGTGTGGAAATAAAATAATAAATCTACTTATCCAAGAGACAATACCAGTAGCCCAGTCTAATTTCATGACAATCTACTTGTCTTATCCAAAGTACAAAAGATCCAGGGACTCAGGGGTGTAATAAGGCAGTCTTAATGAAAATTAGTGCATATTGCAAGCAGCAACTTTTTGATCTTACATCAAGCTAATAACTCAGTGAACATGTGCAGTATTTATAAGACACGACAAACATATTAACTACGCATAATAATAAAAAATAAATAAAGGATTTACCATCCTGTGGTTTCCCAAGTAGCCGGAGCCAGGGCAATCAAAAACAAACCGTGCCACAATGCTTGGTGACATTAGATGCAATGCGTCAAATTATGTGAGGCAAGGATGCCATTCGATTACATCAAAAATAATATGTGGGCACCAACCGATGACATCCAGCGTGAGCACACATGCGCTGTGGTGACACAGCGTCACCTTAATAAAAAGTTTAAGAAATCAAGTGTGACCACCCATCATCACGTCATAACAAAAAACATCAAAAATAAATAAATATATCAGTAGTCATGGCAGCAGGTTGCAGACCAAACAACCATTACATAATTATTTATGATAACATACCAATTGTACACATAAAACATATCCAAATGCCTTCTTTTAACACATTTTGGCCTTTATGCATAAAAAGTGTAAAGTCCTCATTTCTATATAGAAATACATTGTATGACAATTTTTTACTCTGTTTTAATTACATAAAATGCAGACCATAAAGTTAAGTAGGCATTATGGTCTGCATTTATGTGTTGGTCTCTCTCATGGTCTGGCAGCACCCTGACCCCCCACCCCTCCCCTCCAAGGCTCTTTTGTAGCACCCTTGTCAAATCCCCATTATTTTTGGTTTACATGAAAGCTTGACATGATTCCCTAAAACGTAAAAACCAGGGGGCAAATCTTAAAAACTAAAATCATTTTAATTAGTGCAGGCACACAAAGTGTGTCCATCCTCTCATATAGTTCAGTAGTCATCAGTAACACTTACTTTTGTGCTCACTCACTTTTATTTTTTTTTAACGTGGTGTGCAGCCATGTACTGTGGTTTAGTGTAGGTCAGGAGTTCTCCAGTATATAGTCAGACATTTCAAGAAAGAAAAATAAAACCCAGTACATCATTTTATTGTTCTGGGTACTTACATAAGGTAGATTTGTAATTTGTTTCTGTTTGACTGACTATTTTTCAGTTCACTGAGTGTAAGAGGGAATTTAAAGAAAGTCTACTCAATTCAGAATGTGGGCCATAAACCACAGGCAGAAGAACAGACATGTATGTGTGTTAACATTGCCATGATTCACAGATTAAGAGATATACAGAAAACATCACTACATGTCTTTGTAAATCTAATTTAATGTAAGTCTAATTATTATCATTATAAGAATAAAAATTATTCAAACTGGCAGTGATTTTACTTGTTAGTCTCATTAAGGGGACACTAGAGTCACCAGAAACACTACGGCTTAATGTAATGGTTCTGGTGTCTATAACATGTTCCTGCAGGCTGTTCAATGTAAATGCTTCCTTTTCAGAGAAAAGGCAGTGTTTACCTTACTGCCTAGTAACACCTCTAGTGGCCGTCCCTGAAACAGCCACTAGAGGTGCTTCCTAGTTCAACTCTGCAAGGAGATGTTGAACGCTCCCCATAGAGATGCATTGATTCAGTGCATCTCTATGAGGAGATGCTGATTGGTACAGCGTATTGCTGCACACGTGGAATAGCCACATTAAGGGACCAGTTTCAGTAAGACCTACTTTTTTGCTCCACAGAGAGGGGAGCTGGTCACATAAATATTTATTCCAGCACTATAGTGTGCATATTACATGTTTGTATTCCTAAAACTATAGTATTCCTTTAAGCGATATTTGTTTTGCAATAAACATATATTTGCTTATTTAAATTCTATTTTAAATAGATCTTAGTTATTAACTAGCACTAGGTCAAAAGAATAAACACTGTTTATGATGGACATAAGAAAGAAAAATGCAAGATGGTAATTCTAGAAAGTGAACATGATGTATGTGTGTTAGTCCATTGTTTGTCACTGTCAAGTTATAATGCCTAATTATATGTACAGTGCCCAAAATTTACACTTGCCACTGGCAAGTGAAAATTTGGCCCTTGCAAGTAAAAATTCACCCCTAATGAGTGGACTCTCTTGCTGTGTCAGGTAACTTTTAAGGCCTGGCTAGTAGTGTAGAACTTTTAAATTTCAAGCCCTTAATAAAGAAAGACATTTTAATTTAATTTTTTTTTATTATTATAGGAAAGTACATAGCAGCCACTCAGCGCCCTGATGGTACCTGGAGGAAGCAAAGAAAGGTGAAAGAGGGTTATGTGCCCCAAGAAGAGGTTCCTGTGTATGTATTTTTGCTATTTCTGTTATTGCAATCTATCCTGCTATTGGATCTGAAAAGGAATCATTCTAAGTACAGTGTTCTATATGTGGAAAATGGAACAAAAGCATATATTTTATTAAGTTGCCAAAATCTACATGAAAATATTTATGTTAACAGAAATGTCAGACGATTTAATTTTTTAGTTTTTTTTTTTTATTATTATTGTGTACCCTTAACATAGTAATGGTCTCCAATACATTGGCGCCAAATAGATCTAAGATCTAAGCACTCAATGGCTAATCCAGTGCAGGCTTTATTAGGCAACGTTTCAACTCCAATGAGTCTTTATCAAGCCATAATCTAACCTTAATTTATTATTATGTCTTGATAAAGACTAGTTGGAGTCAAAACATTGCCAGTTCATATCCAATAGCCTGCACTGGGTAGAGTACCTGAATCTTTGTTTCTACTGTACTTAGTATTTGAGGTTTTACCACCTTCATCTGTGAGTTATCTAGGGAGGATTCCAAAAAAATACACCTGTGAATTCTGTTCAATCAATTGTTAGTGTAACTGACTGTTTTCTCCCGTATTCTACTGACTCACAATGCTTAGATAAAAAAACAATGAGACCCATTTCTTTTCTGAAACCTTCTTGAAACAAGGAAAACTAAATAAAGTTTAAAACACAGAATTTTTACTACAAAAAAAAAAGCTTTAAGATAACATATCCAATGCTTGATACAGTCAACCGTGTAATGTTAAAGAAAATCATTCACACACATATACAGGAAACTCTGGAACACAATCTTGCTAATATTCTCTGTTACCTTGGAGGGGACTGAAATACAAGGGGATTAAAATTAAACTGCTGAATACATGTATTGTTTAGCTTGTTCTCATTTCTTGCACAGAACAGATTGCAAAACGTCACCTGATCTGTTTTGCTTTCTTACAGTTACGAAAATAAATATGTAAAGTTCTTCAAAAGTAAACCTTCGCTGCCCCCTGGAATGAACCCCTCTGAAGCTCCTGCAAGCAAAACTCAACAGTCCACAAAACCAGATAATGACACCACCTTATCCAAGACCGCCAAACGAAATATGAAGCGCAAAGAGAAAAGAAAGCAGGACAAAGGCGAGCGTGATCCAGTAGAAGAGGCCCAGCAGGAGTTAGAAAGGGTCAACATTTTGGAAACACCAGTGCAGAAGGACAAAGAAACAAGCAATGAGAATCAAGCAGCTGAGAAGACCAAGAAAATAAAAAACCTGCGGAAGAAGCTTCGTCAAGTGGAGGATCTACAGCAGAAAATAGACTCTGGGGAGATCAAGCAGCCATCCAAAGAGCAACTAGAAAAACTAGGACGGAGGAAAGCACTAGAGGAGGAGTTGGAGGACCTGGAGCTGGACTTGTAGGGTGTTGCAGCTTGGCCTTTGTGTTCGAACAAAGAACATATTAAGTCTTTTTCTGTTTTCTTTGTATTTCATTCACTTATCGTCCGGTGCAGTTTTACAATTCTAACATTTTTTGTCATATGGGTTCACCTAGCAAGCCATAAATCCTGCCTTCCCAATGGTTTACCACTCACTGAACTAGACTGATGAACTACAGCTGCTGTAAAGTATAATTTAAGACAGATTTTAGAATTGTGGCCCATGTTTGACGAGTACAGTACCAGAAGACTTCTCTACCATGTACTTTGAAATGAGATCAAGAACATAATTTATTTGCACCAAAAAGGAGTCTTCTAGAAGACTGGTTTACCTGTGCAATCATGCCTTGTCCCTATTCACGGTTCTTTAAGCAATGTTAATTGGTTGTAAGAGTCCTATGTTAGCAAGCTGGAGATCATGAAATTGTTGACACTTTTTTTGTACACAAGTATAAGGTATAAATGCAATAATGAATTCAGTTTAAATCTATACAGATATATTAACCATGCCAAAAATAGGATTGATCTCAATCCTGTTATTTGCTAGGTATATTCAGTCATGTGTTGCACTCTGTATGACACAGATCTGCAATGCTTGAATAGTAGGAATACTAATGCATTTATTTTAATTCTTACCGTCTCAGGGGACTAGGCTAAATCATCTAACACCTAAAGTGTTTAAGGCAGGCATCTCAAACTTTTGCTCCATATGTCGCTGGCCTACAGCTCCCAGAATTCTTTAAATGCAATAGATTGCCTGAGAATCGTGGGCGTTGTAGTTCAGCAACATCCTTGGGGCTGGAGTTTGAGATGTCTGATTAAAGACATTGTATATTATCATGATCAAGGGTAGGTGTTTTGTGATGCCAGTGCAAATTAATATCAGATATATTTGTGTGAAAATTATGTTTGCACACAACCTGCCCTTCTCCTGTCTAGAAGTATATGTGTTTGAGTGAGCAGGGCTCCATTTATCTGTTGTATGAGTGGCTGTCCTCTTTCTCTGTGTCAGGTAGGAGATAAGTTGATGTTTTTCACATCACTATGTAGAAGACACTAGAATGAACAATGTATGTATCTTCTACACATTATTACTTAACAAGATGACGTTTGTTCTAAGCAGAGCAATCAAAAAGAATGGAATCTGGGATTTGTTTGATAGTCATCTTAGTAGAAGTAAACATAAGAAAATTTTAGTGTTTGTGTATGCTAAATGTTTAAGCATTAGCTTTCATCTCTAGTGTCGGTTTTACATAACAGCTAAAATGCAGGGTTTTAAAACATGACTACACATTTCCAGTTCGCTATATATAAGTAATATCTAAACCTGGATTAAACCTCACTCTGTTTTTATTTTTTGTAGCAGGCTAGTGTCAGACATAATGGTTACAAAAGAGTAAAGAAAGTGAGCTTTCTGAAAATGATTTTTAATTTTATTTTGAATATTGTGGCAAGCATTAGTATCAGTATCACGGGGGTTACTCATTAAACAGTGAACTAAAAAGTGGATAGCAAAATTAAAACCAAAATGGAAAATAATAAATCCACTCCAGCTATTTAAGCCTAAAATTTGCTATTTTTTTTTTTTTTTTATTATTATTATTTACTGTTTGGTGAATAAACCCTTTGTGTGCATGCGATTGGCTGTAGCCCCTGATTTAATAATGTTGGGGAATATTTGTAACAGTTGATGCCAGCTACAACCCCAATCAAATAATTAAGAAAAATAGGACAGGTTTTTGTTTAATCTGTCTGCACAGAACCTCATTCATGACATCCATGTGGACTACTGTAATGAACTAGTGGCACTTGGTGATTTCACAAATTAGGATGACACTGCATGGCTGCCTGCTGTCATTTGGTAATAAAATTCATGTAATGTATAAATTGATCTGACCTGAATGAGTCTGAAAACCGAAGTACCAAATTATCTTTAAGGCCAGGTTTGTACAGCATTTGGGAGAAATATTGAAATCGTCTGAGACAGTTGCCTTGTGTCCTTCGAATGTTTGTTACGACCTATAACTTTTCTGTTGAAAAAATTGAAGGGAACTTTAATTTGACTCTTCCTAAGTGGTTAGGCCATTATTCAGTTGAATTATTAATGTTGGAAAAAACACGTTTGTTTGAGTAAAGTTTTGCCAACTTCATCAGATTACATGGACTTTTAAATAAACCTTCCCTTACCCTGTAAGATTTATGAATTATCAATTGCAAGGTGTTATCACTGGTGTAACAACTAATTTTGTTACTCCCTCCATCATTGTTTCGTTTCTCAGTTTGTATTGCTTGCTTGAATTATAAAAATTGTGTGTAATATGTAAAACAAAATAATTTACATATTTTCACAGCTACATGGGGCAGCCATCTTATATAATTTTTTTAGTTGGAAGTAGTGAACTTCAAATGGTGCTTCCAATTAAAGAGTACTTTAAGATGGCCTCCCCCTGTGTATTGAGGGTAAGCCAGGAGATGCACTGAATAGAGGTCTTAACGTATATTTATGCAAGATACAAAATAGTATACAACATTTTAATATTGTATTTCTTAAAATGAAATAAGATTACAGTTTTCATTTAAATGGAGTAACAGAACGGTGGCAATGTTTAAGGATTCAAGGGCAGGATAGCTGCAGTTTGTCTAGCAAAGGATCATGGGAGTTATAGATTATGGGCATCAAACCATTAGTTCGCCTACCCTTTGAGAAATGAGTGACTGTTCTTTCTATACTGAGTACACAAATCAACAATACTAAAACATGCAGAAATTAATTTAGGAGGTAAGGTTTGGGTAAAAACAAGTCATTTTACAAATGCCATTTAAATATAATTGTACATGCATTTTTGAACGAACTCTACAGTAAGGAATGTAACACGGTTTGAGAAAGCTGTAAAAGTAGTGTATACATTTATGTACATGTATAAGTGGCTTAGGATGACTAAAATATTTGTCTAGTATCTTAGGTTTGTGCAGCGCTTACTTTTACAACAGCATCATCTCTATCCTTCACTCGTCCTGTACTGTGGGGGAGGCAAATACATACATTTCTGTCATTATTTAAACTCGTACACTGTTCTATATACTTTTTTTTTAATAAAAATGTAGATTTAATAAAATGCCTTGTTGCATTGTGCAGTTGTTTGAATGCTCTCTAAACCATAGTACTACATTAAGAGAATCATTACATACATTGTTTATGCATTAACTAGGTTGCCAGAACAAACATGTTTGTTTGGTTTTTTTTTTTTGGTTTTTTTTTAAATGTTCATACTGACTTGTTGTTAGCAAACACAATATGCTGTTGTATGTAGAATTTATATGCTGCAGAAGGGAATATTAAGGCATTTTGATTGAAAGTCCTTCTTATTTGATTTCCTACCTTTGGCATACTTGTGTTAAGAAACAAAACTCTAAACATAACTGTGATCTATGTCTGGAGTGGCACTTTAAAAGTATATTTGTCATGTTCTGTGTCCAGTCTGACTTGTTTTTTCCTGGCACAGCAGATATTTTATTCAAATAAAGGATCTTTTAAATAAAATATGCCTGATGTGCTCAGACCATGTGACAGGTCTACTTTAAACAGACCATTCCTGCCAATTGCTGTCAGAAGTAATTTAACATGTGTGGGTCAACCAGCTTAATCATGGTGACACAGTTGATGTTCTCAAGCCAGAATGTCTTCACCAAGTTGCTTCAATACAAAAAATTTAATTGTTAGGCTTACTGCATCAGATTGCTTACCTGGAATGCTGTAGCTGATTCACATGACAATGTTGAGTGATTGTTTGGCAAGTGAGTGTTTTTAAGTGCATGGACAATCAGAGATCTGTTACAGGACAGAAGAGACCAGGGGCCGTCCATCATGGCACATACAGCATAAGGTAGTAAAAAGAGACATTTAACTGATTTGCATCTCACCCACATCCATATCCGTTCAAATCTGTTTGTTTTTTTCTTAGTGTCAGGTGAAGAGAATTGGCACATGATAACCTGAAAATAGTGCTCTAGAGGCTTTTAAATTTAAAAGATGAGTTTACCAGTTTTTCAAATAAGGACTTTTTTGTATTTTGTTTTGTTTTGTTACCAAAATATGATTCCATGTGACCACTGTCCTACGTTTGGTGGGAATGTCCCGATTTCCATTTCATGGTTTGGCTATTTCTAGCCTACATTTTGCAATGCACTTTACAATTCATTACAATCCTGCGTTTAGTGAATAAACCTCAATGTTTTGTCACAGATTTTTATTTAGCATGATACACGTAATCACTGTGAATTATTAAGTAGAGCCATATAAAGTGACTGTAAGATGTTTCAAGTTGCTAGAGTCATAATGAGACAATGTTAGGTTTATATACTAAACAATGAACTGTGTTGAAATGAAAACTAATTGGCAACATTTAGTTAAAAAAATGCCACGAAAAAATTTCAAAATGAGTTATTTTAGCCTGCATTTTTTATATTTTGTTTTCAGTCCTGAGTTTAGTTACGAAGACCCATCGATTTTGACCTGAAGTTTGCAATTTAGTTTGTAATTCATTGTTTACTAAGTAAACCATTTTTTAATATATCTGTCAGGATTATTATTTTCCAGAAAAATATACTCCCCAAGACTACTCGAAATCCTTAAACAGTTCCTCTATGTAAGGAACATAAAAGGAGACAAAAACAAAATCTCATAGGAAATACGCAGTATAACAATGGCAAGGTATGTCAGGCACGGTCTTACCCTCCTTACTGAACCCTACAGGGCTCCATATCCACCGTGTATACCAAAACAACTGATCTGTCGCATTATGTCTGAATGAATAAAATAACACAATGCTGTTAAAAACTACACTAAAAGTGTGGCCTGCACAGATTTCCTCAAGGATATACTATATATTTTTAGAGATGTCGCGAACGGTTCGTGGCGAACTCCGGTCAGCTGACAGCTGTCAGATTGGCCGGGATGTGTCAGCTGACCGGAGTTCGCCGCAAACCGTTCGCGGGAAGTTCGGACGGTTCGCGACATCTCTATATATTTTTAGTATTTTGTGCTATTCACTCAGATTTATTAGACGGATCAGCCATTTTGGTATACCATGTGGATGCAGATAACCGTCCTGTGCAGCCAGGAGGGGTGAGACCATGCCTATCAGACACCACGTGATATGCTGTTTATCTTTTATGTTACTCTACTTTTAAACCATATTACCTGAAAAGTTGTGCCTAGTTTGCCATGGCGAGATGGTGATATAATCTATGTTAATTCCCTTTTGTGTTGTCAGTGCAGTTTTAACATGATATTTTTTTTAGATAAAGACCTGTGAATTTGCATTTTTGGTACATAAAAGTTGTGACTATTCTGTAAACCACTCGTACAGCGCTACAGAATTTGATGACGATATATAAAGAGTAGATTAATAATAAGCAGAATGATTTCTGTAAACACATTCGGGAACATAATCTTAGGCAATTTTGTAATTATTTTTAATAAATATTCATACACTCTGGGTGTACAATTTCATATCATCAAACCCGTAGCACAAAAAACAAGGTAATGCCAACATAAAACAATAAGAGTGAGAAACATTGGGATAGTGCAAATAAGAGATTATGTTGTATTAAAAGGAACACACCCAAGAGAATACAACATTTAGATTCACAGCCTTAGTCGTGTACGGTGATAAAATGTTATATACATGTATTTAAACACCAAATAAATCACATCACTCCATAGTGATCACAAACTATAACATGCAGTATGATCCAGCAACATCAGTAGAGCAAGACAAGCAAAAGTGCTATTCGTAAATAAAGGAAACGAGCACATACAGATATGAAAACTTTCCATATATTACCACGGTGCGACCACCACAGAGTAGCGGGACACAATGGGAAAATAATAGTTCTAAGATGCACAGTCCGAGTTAGTGAACATAAGACTGTATTCAAAAATAAGAACTCCATGTAAATTCTCTGTTGAGACCGCTTGGTACCATTGTTTCCAATGTATGGATCTGATAAGCCTTTCTTGTTTGTAATCTTTTATGATTACCTCCTCTTCTCAGGAGTGGTACATGATCAAAGACCTGAAAAGTCAATTGGGATGTGTTAGGATTACATGTCAGAAAAAGTGATGCTAGCAAGAGATCTTTAATGTTTTATTTTTATCTACTTCCGAAGGAAATTACATGAAGAATTCTGCCTTGGTTCCTATAGAGAAATGCTGGTGTGCTCTATTTTGTACGTCCTTTTTAACATTTTCCTTGTCATTGTAATACTATATATAAAAATTTTTTTTAGAAAGACATGTTTGTATACGTAAATAAGCAGAACTGATTCTGTGAAGTCGGGTACACAATTACAGAGCAATTACATAATTATTTTTAATTTAATATTATATATACAAATATTTATATACCCTGGGTATTCGATTTCATCCCATAGCACTATAAACAAGATAATACAGGAACATTTTGTTATGTCTAATATTACAGGACTTTTTTAAAATTCTAGCGTCCCTTATAAAACTTTTGCTATGGTACCAGTTCTATATTTAGTAACCTTTACTAATTGTGCCAAGTTAATTTGAAAGCTGCATTTTTAAAGGGACTTTCTAGGTACCATAACCACTTAAGAATATTGAAGCAGTTAAGGTGCAATGTCACCATGTCAGTTTTGCATACCAACTCATTGTTATAGGTATGTGAGCCATGGTGAGTAATTATTGTCTGTTTGACGCATAGAGTGTCTTTTGAACGTTTTGATCATTAACACAGGTTTAATGTATGAGTCCCAGAGAGAGAATACATTTCTCACTAGTTATGACTTATTTAGCGCCATTGATATTAAGTACTGCAGAGTGAGTGATTGCCACTAGGTGGCACACAACTACTGCACTCAGTAAACTGGTTTCATTATTAAGCATTATAATTCAATGAAAAGATCCTTAAATAGACTTTTTTTACTTATTACAAAAGTAAGCATAGTTTTTTTCCCCTTTTTCTAACATTCAAGTTTTAAACATGACAGCTATGAATTTTTAATTCATATCAGCTTCTATAAGGAAATAACAAAGAGTGATGAGCTTTCTTGGATTACGTGGATTCACATTTTGTAAATGCATTGACCTTTTTTTTTTTTACTTAGATTGTTAAATGATTGTTGTAATCTGTGATTCTACTCTAAAATAATATACTCCTCTAACATAAACTAAGCCAATCTACGTTATTATAATCTTACACTGTAAGAAAACCTACCTTATTTTGACACTCCTGTCAGTTTAGCCACAGTGCCAGGTCTCTGAGGAGGTGCCTATCAAGTAAACGTCCCAAGCTTATCTATACCTGAGTTTAGCAGCTGTTCGGTGCCCATTTTGTGGTCTGAGAACCCTTAGTAGCATTACTTGATGTTCTTGATTTTCTCTTTATTAACCAGGCTTGTTATTGATGTTGATTTTCCAAGTATTTCCTGTGTACTAGACTTTGGCTGTGTTGGACCATGATCACCTTGTTCCTGTTTTGCGTACCAGACCCCGGCAATGTTTGACATAGATTTTTTCCTATTTCTGCATGTCTCACTTATTCATGACCTTGAGTCCCAGTTATTCCATACCAGCATTTATTATTGTTATTGTTTTCATTGTTCTCCTCCTGGTCTGAATATACTTAATATTAGTTTTATTATTTATTATTTATTTATTTATCATTATTTAATATTTTATTATTTACTTATTTAATTATGAAGCACCAACAAATTCCATAGTACTGTACAACAGGTGAACTAATAGACATGTAACTGCAGATAGGCGAGCTGGATGCACAGGAACAGACAGTATTAAGGGCATGAATACCAATCAAAGATTACCTCCTTTTACAGAGGAGTGTGTATGGTACAGTGCTTTAAGACGGATAAAGTGATTTACAGGCTGCTCAATACACTTATGTGAAAATATCCTCTATTCCACAAGATAAGGTTAAAATTATTGGTGTGGTTTAAGCTATAAACAAACTTATACCAATAAGTGGAGCGCTCCAACACAAGTACAGCTTACCAAATGGTATCCCATTCAATGGCACAGTGTAAGGTACATGTTTAAAAAGATACAAGAAATACAATATAGTGTAGACGGTATGGAGAGTGATGATTTGATAGTAATAATGATATTGGGTAAATTGAACACACATTTCCAGGAGCCTAGAATGTGAGTGTTCAATTTACCCAATATCATTATAACTATCAAATCATCACTCTCTATACCGTCTACACTATATTGTATTTCTTGTATCTTTTTAAACATGTACCTTACACTGTGCCATTGAATGGGATACCATTTGGTAAGCTGTACTTGTGTTGGAGTGCTCCACTTATTGGTATAAGTTTGTTTATAGCTTAAACCACACCAATAGTATTAAGGGCATGCTCAAACTAGCTTACATTCTTACTTCCTAGTTCATGCTTTGCTTCAAGCCCGGCCACTCTAAAGTCCGGTAATACGCCTATTTCATCTCACTTTGCCTTTGGTAGGATTGTTACCTTATATCTTGCTGAGGTAGCAGAGCTTCGCTGTATATTTTACTGTAGGTCGTCGCCTGCAGACTTGACAAATAATATGCGCATATTCCAACCAATGGGGATATCCGCTAAAAATATGACGATCCATCGATTGTGTCCCATTAACCCCCTAGTGACCAGGCCGTTTTTCAATTTTCTTACCGTTTGGGACTCAGGCTGTTTTTACATTTCTGCTGTGTTTGTGTTTAGCTGTAATTTTCTCTTACTAATTTACTTTACCCACACATATTGTATACAGTTTTTCTCACCATTAATGGGCCTTTCTAAAGATACCATTATTTTCATCATATCATATAATTTACTATTAAAAAAATTATAAAATATGGTGAAACTTGGGGGGCGTGGCTTAACACTCGGCGCGAACGGACGCATGTGAGGCGAGCTCCGTTCTGTTTTGGCCTAAATAGCGACATCACCAGCGACAGTGACCAGCACCAACCTCCGAACCAAGCCCCAAGCATGGCCCAACCCAAAGGGAAGAAGATCCCCGACAAAGCGGACAAAAACATCTTTTTCTCCGCCCGCAATCCGTCAACTAAGGCCCAGGGTGCAGGAGAGCACAGCCAAGATGGCGACGACACGCTGCCGCTGCAAGAATCCCCTGGGGGTAGAGACCTGCCGGTCACACAGCACATACTCCAGGCATGCCTGGGAGAAATGTCTGATAAACTGCTACACAGCCTCAACAAGTCTATCTCAGACTTAAGAAGAGACGTGCAGGAGCTGGGTGAGAGAACAGCCCGCATGGAGAACCGCATGGGCGAGTATGCAAATGCACACAATGACATGGCAGATCATGTCCATCACCTGGAACAGGCACTGGAGTCCTGCCAATATAAAATCATGGACCTAGAAGATAGGTCAAGGAGACAGAATATACGGATCAGGGGGATCCCTGAGACGGTGAAGCAGCCCGAAATAGCGGCATACCTCACGGCTTATTTCAAAACATTAGCTCCAGACCTCCCAGCAGATGTCTTGCTCTTGGATAGAGCGCACAGAGTAGCTAAACCAAGCTTTCTCCCAGCTGAAGCGCCAAGGGATGTACTAACGCACCTCCATTATTATCATGCGAAAGAAGCACTGATGAGAGCATCTAGGATCCGCAAAGACCTCCCAGCCCAATACAACTCCATTCAACTATATGCAGATCTCTCTGCCCAAACCCTGAAAAAAAGGAAGGAGTATAAGGAAATAACGGATGCCCTCCGCTCCCATGAGGTGCCCTATCGCTGGGGCCACCCAGTGCGTCTCCTCATCCACAAAAATGGAGCTATGCACGTTATCACCTCTCTGGCGGACGGACGAAAAGCACTGCAGAAATGGGGCATACAACCCCAAAACCAGGCAGGCAGCAACAACGACCCACAACCAAGTAAGCTTACAGCCGACTGGAAAAGAATACGCAACTAAGGCCCTGCGACCCTGACGGAGGAGTACACGTTTAAACCTCGATAGGCAGCGAAAATGGCGTGAGATGCCATAAGCAACTCCCAACACCCACGAACGAAAGAATGCGGGACTGTTACAGGAACACGAGAAAGGACTATAGATCACAAGCAGGTGACTATGACATTATAACTCCCCACGCTGCCCTTGCAACACTGGCAGCGCCTCACACACCAACAAAACACACTTATTAGCAACACACATACTGCATACACACTGGGGACTAGCGACACACCACAAGTGCCAATTTCAGGGACTCAGCGCGGCACTAATTTACACACTATGCTGCCACGTGAACTTTTGGTGCCGCAGGCTCGAGCAGCGGCGCACACACAGCTGCAGCCTACCGGGAGGCAAAAAACAGAAGGCTGAAGGGAACTCCCAGAAGATGACACAACACAGCACAAGAAAAGTCGCCACACTCGGGGGAGTTGGGGAGGCGGGAAGGTATTTCGGGGGAGGATAATCGGAATTACGATTTACTGCAATGTAAATGTCTTGAATACCTGTACAATTTGGGGGGGATAGTTGTAAGTCTAACTGACATGTGAATAAGATAACCTGTTATAGCTGGGGGGAGCGGGATTAAGCCTATTATGTATTGCAATATGATTGTTTTGGTTGTTTGCATGAAATGCGGGAAACAGCTGCAACTAAGCACACAGGCCAAAGGGATAGCCCTGACGCACACGATACCCTCCCCCCATGAGGCCCCCAAAGAGAGGTCACACTCCCAGAGGCTAAGCGAAGCACACACTGAAATGCCCCGCCACAACTAGACCATAGCGAGACCTCCACAACCTCCCACACACCTTAGGCGACCAAGCCAATACGCTATGCTAGGCAACAACCTCAGCCATGCACCGCCAACCTGTGCCCCCTGCTGCCCTTGACTCCCCCGGGGTGGACACCGCTGGTACCGCTAGCACAGGCCCCCAGCTGAAGTCTATATTATATAATAAAAAAATTAAAAAAAAACATTGTTGACGCAAGCTGATTGAACCCAAGTGACAACCGCAGCCCAAGTTCCTGTACCTCACCGCAAAGACAACAGCCGTAAAGTGGCACTCCACTGTCCAACCGCAGGTCACAACGGAATGACACAGGCCAACATTAATACTGTTCTTTACTTCAAGTAACCACGCTCTCATGGTACCGATAGCCGGAACCGAAGCCCATCTAGGGGCTATAGTTTTTACCCCTCCCATGTTCATACCCTCACAGTATGACCCCACTACACCCTTTCCACCCTCTCCGCCCTTGACACTACTCCAAGAGACAGTTGCATTCATCGAACAAGAAGGTGACACACACCTGAACAAACTGACAACCTCTGGACCCACCAATAGCCAAGCACAACTCGCCCTCACCACCACTAAACACTCAATTAAGGCCCACACCTTTGCCCAGTATTGCGAGGGCAAACCCCAAACACTATCAGCAACAAGCTCAGCCTACCCCATACGAAGATCACATAAACGAACTCTAGCGATTCAAGCAACCAACCTAAAGTATGAAAATACAAAGCCACAATGTTAGAGGGTTGAATACCCCATATAAACGACATTGCCTTTTTAGAGACCTTAAAAGAGACCAGCCTGACATAGTCTGTCTTCAAGAAACACATTTTAAAACACCACCGACCCTAAAACCATCCTTGTACCCACACCAATACCACGCTACGGCAGGGACAAAAACGAGAGGGACATCAATACTGATTAGCAACACAGTATCCTTCCAGCACCACCACTCACAGACAGACAAGGAAGGAAGGTACACAATAATAGTATGCACAATCAATAACACTAAATATACCCTAGCAAACATATATGCCCCGAACACGAAGCAAAGAGATTTCCTACACAGAATCTTATCCATACTACGACCAATACAGGAGGGTATCCTGGTTTTATGTGGGGACTTTAACCACATCATAGATCCCAAAAACGACACAACGTCCCATGCAGGCAGAGTGGTGCAAACAAACCACCGCAGGACTTGCGCATCATACCTTAAATTATTAGACAACAATAAACTATATGACGTATGGCGAGTCCTACACCCCCAAGAAAGGGATTACACGTATCACTCACTTACGCACAATACGTACACTAGAATAGACAGAGTCCATATGGAAAGCACGCACCTGGACCAGGTTCTAGACTGTTCTATCGGCCAAATCACATGGTCGGACCATGCCCCACTGACACTGACCCTCAAAGACAACTACGACTACAAACACAAGAGCCCCTGGAGACTCAATGAATCACTGCTGACAGACATACCCTTTTCCAACCAACTAGAGGAAGCCATAACAGAATACTTCACGCTCAACGACACAGGAGACACATCAGCATGTTCCCTATGGCAGGCACACAAGGCAGTGGTTAGAGGGATCTTGCTAAAACGAGCAGCATCTCTGAAACAAGTTAACCAAACCCAATGGCTAAATTGGAACAAACAATTAATAGACCTCACAAACAAAAACAAAACGCATCCCACAGCTGCAACACGGAAAAGCATCGTAGAAGTTGCAGACAAAATTAGACTACATACGCTGCAACGAGTAAGCTTCAACTTACGCAGACTCAAAGCAACATATTATGCCCAGGGAAATAGAGCAAGCAAAGTGTTGGCTGCCCGCATAAAGCGAGCAGAAACGAACGCGAAAATATCACACCTATACACACATGACAACACAAAAGTGATTTCCCCCATAGATATTAGCAATGCCTTTGCAAACTACTATAACAACCTCTACAACTTGGCACAGTCCGAGCGAACACCCGACCCGACAGAACATGACATACAGTCCTACCTGCAAGATATCCCCCTACCCACGCTAACGAGAGAGCAAACTACCTCTCTGCAAACCCTAATCACTTCAGACGAAGTGAAAGATGCAATACACACCTTACCTAAAAATAAAGCACCGGGCCCGGATGGCTTCACAAACAGGTACTATAAAAGATTCGCGACCGTTTTAGCCCCACACTTGGCATCCCTCTTTAACTCCGCCACCCAAACCAAATCACTACCAGAAGATCTATTGCTTGCCCACATCGTCACCCTACCAAAACCAGGGAAGCCCCCAACACACTGCCCAAACTTCAGACCAATATCCCTCCTCAATACGGACGCCAAATTATACGCCAAAATATATGCCCGGCGACTGAGCTCACTACTCCCATCTCTCATTCACAACGACCAAGTGGGATTTGTAGCGGGGAGGCAGGGAACGGACAATACCCGGAAGGTTTTGGACCTAATACACAGCATAAGACGGAAGGGGACAGGTAGCCTACTAATGTCCTTAGATGCGGAGAAAGCCTTCGACAGACTAAATTGGCGCTTCCTGAAGGTGGTACTAATGAAATATGGCTTTCCCTCCCAATTCACAGACACAGTAGAGGCTCTATACAGCTGCCCCACGGCTAAAGTCCTCAACGCAGGATTCTGCTCGGACAAATTCAAAATCTCTAATGGCTCCCGCCAGGGTTGTCCGCTTTCCCCGCTGCTCTACGTCCTGGCATTGGAACCACTGGCTGCCAAGATCAGGATGGAATCAGCAATCCATGGGGTAACACTACGTCAGAAAGAATACAAATTAAGCCTATTCGCTGATGATATATTCCTCACTCTAACGCAACCACACATATCCCTACCTAACCTTATGCACCACATCACGGAATACGGACGAGTGTCATATTATAAGCTGAACGTCACTAAGACACAGGCACTAAGTATCAATCTCCCCACAACACAACTGACGAACCTCAAGAGCTCGTTCCCCCTAGACTGGAGGGTTGATCACCTCACCTTCTTGGGAACTAAAATGACCAAAAACCCTATGTCTCTCTTCAAGACGAACTACCAGCCATTGTTAGAAACCTTTAAATCCCTACTGAGCTCCTGGGAGGGGAAATACTTGTCCTGGGTGGGGCGGATCGCGGCCATAAAAATGTCACTGTTACCCAAACTCCAATACCTATACAGAAAACTACAAATTTCAGTACCAGACAAGTACATCAAAGCACTCACAAAACTGCTAACGCACTTCACATGGCAAAACAAAAAACCCAGAGTAGCGACCAACCTATTACAAAGGCCGATAAACCAGGGCGGACTAGGCTTCCCAGACCTAAAAGCATATTGTAAAGCGGCGACGTTGATGCTAGTGCCACAATTTCGACAACATCCCACAGCCCCACAGTGGCTGGAAATAGAAAACAGCTGGGCCCACCCAAAGACACTACACTCCATCCTGTGGACACCCAAATCACATAGGACAGACACTAGCCACCTTCTACCCACGACTCAATATACCCTACACGTATGGGATTCCACAAAGCACCTAATGACGCGATACCACCCACTGCCTTTGGCAGCCCCAACCAGCACCCTAGAACATGTAATACCGAACCTGAACATACAACCATGGCTACAGATGGGCATCCAAGAAATAGGGCAGTTATACAATGACAAGGGGTTGAAACTATTTCCGGACCTACAACAAGAATTTCAACTACCCCACAGACTAGGCTTCGCATACCTCCAAATTAAATCTTACTTAACCAAAAACAAACTTAACGAACAGGCTGCTGCAGCCACAAGCCCGATGACCGAATTCGAACAGATATGCACACACAGAAAACCAATGAAAAAACTAATCTCCATCAGTTACAAAGCACTGACCCAAGCGTTAGACCAGGGCAAAGAAACACACATTCAATCCTGGCATGGAGAATTAGGCAGAATAATCCCACTGGCAGACTGGATTAAGGCTTACTCCTCGTACAAAGGTGTAACATCATGCGCTACTCATATTGAGATGCAGCGCAAACTGTTATACCGTTGGTATTTAGTACCATCCAGACTCCACCAGATGTGGCCGCGATCCTCCGACACCTGCTGGAGATGTGGCCAGAGTAAAGGCACCATGTCTCACGTCTGGTGGACATGCCCCACCATCAAACCCTATTGGCAGGAGGTGCAAACAATCATAAATGCCACCACACAAACACAAATCTCACTGACACTGGAATTATGCATCCTATTCATCCCACCAGACTCACTTACTAAAGATATGTGGGCAGCAACATACCACATCCTTATGTCCGCAGTCACATGCATTGCTAGGCTATGGAAACAAACGGCAATCCCATCACGGGAAGCTCTCATAAACCAAATAAAACTGAACTGGGCCTACGAGACAGTATATGCACGACAATTTGGAGGAAAGAAACACATGATTCTAGCTCACAACAGGTGGGACGACTTTCTACGATCAGAAGGACTACAAAAAGAACCGACATAACCAACGCAACTAGTCTCCCCCCCCCAAGTTTCCCCCCCCCCCTCCACTCCACAACCGCCCCCTATCCTACCCACTCGTTTCCCCGAAAAGTACGATGCTTGACAATGACGCGCACAGAACACCCGACCACTTGTGGCCGTGGGTAACCTTGCACAGATATGCACGATACACCCCTGCACGACCACCTACAGTCCTGCACCCTCTAGAGGGGCAGGGGAGAATAAATACGAATAAACACGAATGTATAATGTCTGTAATACCTAACAACGGCATGGGAGACCGGGTGATCTGCATATGATGTACATTGAATGTCATGACTGTATATCAAGCATTGTACAATAAAAATTGTCAAATTCAAAAAAAAAAAAAAAATATGGTGAAACTTTAAAAAAACAATATTTTTCTAACTTTGACCCCCATAATCTGTTACGCATCTACAACTGCCAAAAGGCACCCGTGCTAAATAGTTTCTAAATTATGTCCTGAGTTTAGAAATAACTATTGTTAACATGCTCTTAGCTTTTTGTGTTTGCAAGTTATAGGGCTACAAGTACAAGTAGGACATTGCTGTTTCAAAAGATATATTTTAAAAATGTATCAATAGTGACATTGTAACACTGTTATCTGTCATAAATCTCTGAATCACACCTCACATGTTCCTTTTTT